CAACGCGATATTCGCGTGTCGGACTCGTAGAAGTTCGTTCCGAGTAGAAGCTCCCCGGACGTGGCGCGGCCGAAAGTATCAGCTGATCGCGCGCCGACCTGTAACTCTCTTTCTCTCTCTCTCTCTCTCTCTCTCTCTCTCTCTCTCTCTCCTCTCCCTCTCTCTCTCCCTCTCTCTCTCTCTCTCTCTTTCTCGGGCCAATCGAACCGCACAAAACAGCAATCTGAATTGTACGGAACTTTTCTTCTTTGGAGGATCCAATTGTATACGACGGTAATACATCGCGGGGGACGAAATTACAGGACGCTTCGATTATTATTAGAGCGCGCAAGTGCGGACTCCATTAATCTGCGCGCCGGGGGGACGTCCGTAACGAACGAATCGCCAATTAATCCGCGACGCTGGCACCGTTGCAAATGATAACACAGTCTCTCTCAACGGACGCGCACGGATCGTCGTGTGTTCGTAAAAATGGCGCGAATCGTGCACGATAGACTCGACTCGCCAACGAACCAAGCGCGCGTACTCGACACATGATCGAGCACTTTGACGAAGAAGGAAGAGTCACGATTGCAAAATCTTACACAACGTGCTCTCGCGACAGAGCTCCCGACGAATGTACCAAACAAGCCAGCCGCCGCCGCCGCCGCGATCGCCGTGCAATCGCGCGATGTCGCGTGCGGCTGAGTGCTTTTCGACTTCGATCGCAATTAGTCTATCGTCCTCGTTCTGGAAGCGACGCCCTCTCTAACCGACGGGATCTATTTTCCGCGGTATAGAATTACGCCGGCGATGCGATGTGATACGGTGCGATGTGGGCGCTCTCGTTCGCTCACTCGCTCGCCTGCTTTTGCGTGTTTCTCGAGTCGAGTTTCGGAGCAAATCAACGCGGTGGCGGCGGCGGCGGCAGCGGCGACAGCGACGGCCGTCACGACTATTATCTGGACACGCGGCGTTTCGCAATGATTTTCTGGTGGCTGATATCGCCCTTTGTCCGCCGGCTCGCAGCGCTCGGCTCAGGGCAGATTAGAACAGCGAACACATATTTATTTATAGAATCGTCCGCCGTGCGTGCTCGGCATACGTGTGCGTGTCCCGTCGCCGTCGTAGCGCACGTGCGTGTGTCTCTGCTGTGCGCACATATGCGCTCGCTACGCGCGACGAAGAGGGAGGGGGAGGGCGAGAGAGGGACGGAGATGAGGGGTGGCGGCAACGACGCGACGACGACGCGACGAGCGCGAGACCGCATCGCGAAACGGAAGACGCGTGTGCATGCCAACAGAGCCGACGGCTTTGTGAAAAAAAGCGCGCGCCTTGCGCATCGTACTCGTCTCTCGGAGGAAGAAATTCCGCTGAAACGCGAACAGATAGCGATGCGCGCGAGATTTCTGCGTAGTTTCCGCGCCAACTCGGACGTAGTTCGTGTTGTAGATTTCGCTCGGTTTTTGCGCAGCGCTGATGATAACGACACGCGGCATTGTTCCACGTTGGCGGCACATACATCTCGGGATTCCTCGAACCGATTTGGAAGTCGATTTTATCTCTTAGCTTAGAAGTCCGAGCGAACGTGATTGTTCCTCTTTCTGTGGCCTCCTTTCTGTGCTCGTCTTTCGACATTCGAAGATTTCCGGACTCGGAATTATCGAGCGATTTTTTATTATTATCAAAATGTATGGCACATGGAGCTGCCAGTTGCCATTCCAGCAATTTTCATTTGCAGTCTTTAGCGTAGAGAAGTCTCCAGAAAGGAAATTGTGACATCCCTTTATCTTATTTACACCGCAAATACAATGTCATGCTATATCGCGTAACGCGGCCGTGTATCGAACAAAGCTCTCTCGGCGAAGCTCCATGCCAAAGCGGGGTCGTCGCGCGCAACAGCGAGTGATTCACGCGGGCGAAGACTTGTCGACGTTGATGTATGCACGTATAATGACTTGTTCGAACGAGTGAAGTTCGAGTAGTCGACGCGACGAACAATGCGGAGCAAGGTGAACGGCCTGAAGGCCGTCAAGAATGGCCGGAAACCGTCGGTCCGGCGACAGTCGCAAATGAAAAGCTGTTTTCTTCTTTTCGCTGGCAAAATGATCGTCCGCTAATCTTCCCTCGAAGCTTATTTTTCCGATGACATTTTTCACAGAGAGGAGGAATGAATTAAATTGACTTCTCTAAAAATTATGTTCACCTTATCTGTTGTCGACACATTCCACGTCGCATCTTATCGATCCTCGTCGCGTTTCCCTTCTCTCGTTTTCGGCGACTGCAGAGAGCAAACAGAGCGCGCCCGATAAGCCGGTTTGTGCTGGTGGAATCTCTCGAAATTTATCTGTCGATAATAACTGCGCCGGGATGCAATACAGGACGGAACCGCCCCTGCGAGAGACCGTAAATTCTTCGCTGTGCCAAATCGTAAGGTGCCCGCGCGCCGAAGGACACCGCAATAAATTAAGATTGAGACTCGCCGCGGAGGTCGAGACAATTGATCAAGATCCGAGAAGGAAAGAGGGAGAAAGAGAGAGAGAGAGAGAGAGAGAGAGAGAGAGAGAGAGAGAGAGAGAGAGAGAGAGAGAGAGAGAGAGAGAGAGAGAGAGAGAGAGAGAGAGAGAGAGAGTCAGACGGCTGAAAAACAAGTGATCGACGCTCTTCGTCTAAGGTGTTCCGTTTCGCCTTGTGATGATCGATGTCTTGAAAAATTACACATGCGAATTTTTTGGCATACCGCGTCGCGCGCATCTTGGCGAGAAGCGAAGTCGAAGAAAGGTCAACCCGCGAAACTTGTCAAACTCTGTCGGACTTGTAAAGTTATAATCAACGAGCGAAGTTCCACTGTGTAACATCACGACGCGAAATCGACCTACGAAGGGAAAGCGCGATCTAAATGACAATCTGTAGATTTCATTTTTATATCTCTTTTTTGTCTCGTTTTCATCGTTCGTTACAGTGCTTTTAGAAATCAACTGGTTGCGACATTCGTTTTGTCAAGGCACGATATCGGGCGGTTGTACATTGTCGCGGGCATCGACAATATCGGCAACGAATCGATAAAGATATCAGCGATATTTCTAGTTCGTAGCTTCGCAGTCACACGACGCTCCTCGGGTGGTTTTCTCTGCGTTCACCTGCGGTCACTTTCTCACTAGTTATGCCGAAATTCCAATGGACGTGACGCTACACACACGGACATGATTTGGTAACGCCTAAGTTTAACGCTCCGGACATTCCTGAGGTTCCCGCGCGCGCGATGCTTTGCGATGGGTGAGAAAACGAACGGTGGGTGGCCAGTCGCGACGGCTGAAATCGCCATTCGGAGCTACTCTAAGTAATTTTAGCGATGACACTTAAAGCGCCTACGGTGCGTTCCTCCGTCATGGATTGTGATCTCGCCGAGGGAGATGCATCAATCGATAGCGCTGCATGCGCGTCGAGTGGGGAACGATAATGATTCTTCACCTTCGACACGGTCGACATTTTCGCGCACGACTTCGCATTAGATCGGGCTGATTGTACTTCCGTCGAGAGAACGGAGATGTGATTGATGAGACGCATCAAGACGCAAATTAATCATTATCTCAGTTGCTGCATAATTGTAATAATAAAGAAATAGAAAAATTATCCTCCCTTCTTTGCGACCACACAATTTTTTTTATAAATAAAAGACGTGACTCTAAATTCGGGTTCCATCCGCGGGCAATTCTCGAGTGTTTCCCATCGCGACGACGATCGCGGCCTTCGTTAGCCGCCAGGATGACCATTCGTAATTTTAGAAATGATAGCGAACCGCGTGTCTTCTCACAAGAAAGAGAAAAAGATAGAGAGAGAGAGAGAGAGAGAGAGAGAGAGAGAGAGAGAGAGAGAGAGAGAGAGAGAGAGAGAGAGAGAGAGGGAGAGAGGGAGCGAAGGACGCGCTTCTCCTTCCTGCGTCCTTTTGTGCTTTCTGGGAAACGCGCACCGCGTATAGATTACGTCCCCGACTGGCGATTGGACGGTGCGATAATGATGCCGCGAGGTTGTCGCTACGTGAGCTGCGATTCGAGCTGCACGTTAATATCGTCGCAGTTAGAGACGACGGATTCGAGAAGCCTCTTTTCTCTCTCTCTCTCTCTCTCTCTCTCTCTCTCTCTCTCTCTCTGTCTCTGCCTACGTTTTCATGAAATCGCGAGCGACCGCGAATTTTTTATCCCACCGTCACGGATCGCCACGGCGCGGCGGCATGGAAACGACGCTTTTAATTCGACGCGAATTACGACATTGCGCAATGTCAGTGTATACATGCGCCGCGCGATGTTTGTAAATTGTAGCTCTCGAGACAGACGAAGAACACGGAGAGAAGGCGTGATACGCAAAAAATACCGCGCGTGCGAGAGAACGTTCGTCGTTGCAATTTCAACGACGACGCTCCTCGCTGGTATCTCGAAGAGAGTCTAACGATCTATCCGACCGGCCGCGGCGCGGCGATACGTTATCGGCTATTGGATCACGGATATTTTTACCGAATCATCTTCGTGAGATTAAGCGGCTGATATCGGCGCGGCAAGGCGAAGATAACGCGCCGCGGCAGCGCCATGCTCTTCTACATTAGTTCCAATTTCCTTAACGCGAACGAAATCACGCCACCGAGAGTCCTCGGAATATCGAGTGATTCGTCATTCCCACTTCTCGCATAAGAATAAAACGAAGGAGTGAAATCTCCAATTGACCTTTCTATCGATATTCTCATATTAGTGCGACTTGAACTTTTATCACTTTGTGGTTCTCTATTAAAACGTGCAAAAGTGAAAAGGAATTTACGACTGTTCTCATTTATCTCGCCGTCGACGCGCTCTTGACGTAACAACAATAATAATAATTTATTAATATTTGTTTTTAGTTACATATATATAATAAGAAGATATTGCAAGGTCGTAAAGAATCACGCTTTATTCTCGAATCGATCTTCAAGACTACGATGCATTCTCGACTAACATTCTCTAACTAACGTCTCCGTCGTTCTCATGTTACAGCTGGTATCTCTGGACGGGTTGCACAGTGGAGTTCCGACCAGGACGACGCCGACGCTGACGCCGACCACGCTCCGCAGCATCGAACAGACCTTCTTGGAGTTGACGAGCGAATCAGCGTCGCACAGTCGCGAGGCCGGTTTCGTGCCGCCGCTGGTTGAGCCGTCGCAGCCGACCCCGGCACAAACGCAAAACACTGCGGCGCACCATCTCCCGCCGACGACCACCCTCATCGAGAGCCAGCAGACGCAACCGCAGCAGCAGTCGGCTAGACGCAATATGGGCGGCAGGAGGCCCAACAGAACGGTCGGGATGACCCCCGAGGAGGAGGCGAGACGACAGATCCGGCGCGAGAGGAACAAGATGGCAGCGGCCAGATGCCGCAAACGAAGGATGGATCACACCAACGCCCTTATTGAAGTAAGTGACGACGATGTAGTTGCTTGTAGATTAAGATGTAAATGTTGATGTTATAAATCACGAAAGCTATGATCAGTTTTGCATTGCGCGATGTTTCACAAGAAGTCAGTTTCTGAAAGCAGTGTGATGGTTCAGCAGGGCGCGTCGTATTAATGCGTTGTTGTTCTCTTGCAGGAGACCAAGGGCTTGGAAGAGAAGAAGCAGAGCTTACAGGAGGAGATCAGTAACCTGCAGCAACTGAAGAACGAGCTTGAATTGCTGCTGGACGCTCATAGAGCGGTCTGCCGGCTGCGATCCACGTCCCCGCCGGATGTGAAACCCGTGATAAAGCCCGATCTTCCGGTCGACGATCAATTCGCCGAGCCCACGAAGGGCGGCGGCGACGCCATGGTGGCCGCTGCGAGACCGAACAGACCCAATTCACTGCCGGTCGGGTTCGACAACAACAACAGACTGAATTCCCTGTCGCTGTTCGCGGAGCCTAAGGACAGACCGGACACGTTGGCCTTTAAGACGGTAGAGGCGCCGTCCTTCATGAAGACCTCGATGGATGTGACCGGTATGCCGATCACCACCCCAACGAGCGGTATACCGTTCAACTTCGACTCTCTCATGGAGGGCGGCACCGGTCTCACACCAGTCACGACGCCCTTGATACCGTCGTGCTCCACGCAACAGAGGAGCAACCTATCCGCCGTGGACCTTAGCTCGCCGGACGCGAATCCCAAGCTCGTCAGCTTGTGACGCCACGACGATGTGGAGCACGGATCGAACGAGGAGGATAATCCCGAATGAGAACGGGAATACCATGACGCGGAAGAAGCTAGAGTTTCTTTTTTTCTCTGAGGGAGGGAATAACCGAAGTATTACGCGAGCGCTTTGCAACGAAAACTTTGATCGCTGTTAAAAGCTCTTTCATTGCGATTTTGCTTACTAGCGCGATCCATGATGCATTTTTTTCTGTAAAAAACTTAGGCCGTTGTTGTCGACGATGTTTTAGTGTGTGAACAGATGGGTGGTCTTTTTTAAGCGAGAAAGCAACAGAGTGAAGATAGTGTCGTTGACGTTGTTTGTTTCTGTGCAACGTGCTATACGCATTGATCTTGAGGTAAATAATAAAAGTCGCCGGAAACGAAGGAAAACGATTTTATTGTATTTAGATTTTAACGATTTTGTAGATTCGCGTATTAACGGCCTCAGTATTTCGAGCCATACGTAGACACAATCACGACACCAACACGCGAATCTGAAATTTTTGAATTGTAAATCTTGTATTGTGAGATCCATGAACGAATTGTTCTATATCTTGTTGTTCGTTGCATATGTAAAAATCGTAATAAGAAAGGAGAAAGAGAGAAATACGTTTAAACGAGAAGGATAAAGCGCCAACTGTCTGCGCCTTATAGTAAAATGATCGGCAGACTGATGCAATAAATGTCTGCACACAAGTGATACGAATATATTTAACGTTTAAAGTAACAAATTAGGATTAATGAAAGTAAGATTTGTCATTTTTTAAGTGATGCAACGAAAGAGATGAAGGAAATTTTATACTTATAATTCTACATTTTGAGGAGGATACGAGCATCTAGAAGTTAAGACAAATCATGTTTAGCTCAAAACTTCTAAGGTACATTAAGGAACAGTAAGAGCTCTTTGAATTGCGCGCTTAGAACATCGATCAATACACATATTACCCACAATTACAAAACAGTTCGCATAATTCAAAGAAATATTTAAGAATTTTGCAGATCGCGAATAAAGAATAAAGAAAATTGCACGAACGCAAATTCTCGTCGTACGATCTCGCATGTTGAAGATAGAAAGATTAAATTGTGTGCCTCGCTTTTGTAATACCCGCGAGGACGTAAATAAGTTTTTATACGCGACTGTCATTTTTTCCAGTCTCATTCGACATTATAACATTTAATCCCTCCGTACGATTATAATATATACATATATATATATATATATATATATATATATAAATATTATATATATATATACATATACACATACATATATTTTACGATGTATGACATTTTTGCATGATCTTAAGCAATATTAATATATTCATGCGCGACTACTGGAGTATGATGTACGGAAGCGATAAACTTTTTTTTTTTTTTTTTTGATAGTATGCGCTAGCGACTCTTTCATGTTCTGCGGCTAATCTACCAAGAACTTTCTGGCGTCATACTTGGTGGTCGTTGTTGAGGAACGTATATGGAGATTGTAACGCACCATCAATAATGTTGCAATATATTTTGATTAGATTGAGTCAATAAAACGAGATCAAATTATACTCTCTGTATAACTTTACTCGTCTATTACCGATAATATTGTTATATATATTAGAATCCTTTGGATTTTCTAATTACTTCCTCTTCATCGCCGATAGTCATTAGTTGATGATGACTAAATTCCAGTGAAAACGTCGCGTTGCCCGACGAGACGATTCTTAATGTCGTCGAGTATCCTAGCAATTCTGATAACGGCACGAAGGCACTAATCACCTGTGTAACACGAAATCTAAGCCTATTTAAGGAATTAGGCAGCTGGAATTTGTTACCAACACGAACATAAAACGGATTCACTTGCCTTATTGTTGCCACGTTGATCGATCTGTTGCATTTCAGCTCGCCTGCGAGAGAGATCCGCGGTGATGCTCGAGGAATATTCCTGCGGTGCAACAATGTCTAATCGCATGATGGGTTCCAATAACATACTATGACCGTTTTTGAGCATCTACGCACAGAATACACGGTATCGTTAAATATTCTGTCAAAAAATCCAAATCAATAACTCTTCAGCAATTTCGTCCGAGTTAATAATTCTTTCTTGTTGAAAATGACAGGTAAACAATAATTGAATAATTCGTTAAACATTTCCAAGTATGTCTAACATGTGATATAGGAGCAAATAACGAAAGCTCAATCCGACGAGTAAATCGAACGAGTTATCGAACGACAGAATTGATCGTGCGTGTAACTTGAAACGCGGACCAACCTTTCGAATGCATTGCGAGGCTGCGGCAGAGACCATGGTATCAGATGTACCGCGTCCCACTTCCAGCCAATGCAGCTTAACGCCGACATTGATAACCGGACAACTCAACTTGGTACCGCGCAACAGCGCAGCATTTACGCCATTCTTGACCGCGTTCATCATTCGCGGATGAATATTGTCGATGTTCGATGAGTTGTCCGGGCAAGATCTGTCCAGAAGCAGCTTCCCCATGCCCTGATAATTGGGTATCAAGGACATCGTGATGGTAACCTGATGATTCGTATTACCCACTTTGTGCTCGGTAATCAACGTGTCCTTAACGGCGTCCTGAATCGTCTCTTTGTAAGCTATCTGCAGAGGACCCAAATCCGCATCGATCTTATATTCCCTCTTGATCCTTTCCTTAATGATTTCGATGTGTAGCTCGCCCATACCCGCGAGAACGATCTGCTCGGTCTCAGGATCGTTATTCACGCGTAGACTGGGGTCTTCTCTTTGCAGTTCTTGAAGAGCAATCTCGAGAGGCGTCTGTGCCGATAGAGAGGGTGGCTCTATGGAACAGAAGAATACAGGATCCAACAGTTTCATACCAGACGCGAAAAAATTATTCACGTCCTCCGTGTGGTCCGAGTTCTCCTTCAGCATGGCCTGTTTGGCACGATTGGCTATGTTCGCACTTATCGTTACCAAATCGCCGGTGACGGTGTTTTTCAATCCAGCCACTGCCGCGATATTACCATAACTCACCTCGGTCACCTCCTCGTAATCATTGGCGCAAGCGATATATAAATAAGTACATTGCTCACTCTGCTGGCGCGTCACGTTGTACAACTTTTGACCCTTCTTCATACTGCCGGAATAGATTCTGAAGAAGGTAACCGGGCCCTTGTGCTTGTCGTGAACAATCTTGAAGACTCGCGCTGCCAAACTGTCTCCGAAGTGTCGATACGAGCTTAATTTTTTCAAGTTTCCTGGGGATGGTAGATAAAGAATGACATTGTCCATCAAAGGTTGCACTCCCACGTTCTTGTAAGAGCTGCCCAACATTACGGGAACGCCTCTCCTGCTTATTGTGACATTGCGCAAGGATTCGGCTAACGCCTGTGCCGTCACGTCCTCCAGAGATTCTTGTTCTATGATGATGTCGGCTAGCTTGTCGTCTAAGCCCGACAACTTATCGGTTAATGCTCGTCGCTTCTCACTGGCTATTTCCCAAAGTTTCCCGTCGTCGTTTTCAGTGATTTTTCTTCTTGTCATATTCATACCCTGACATTTTTCATCGAACATTAACTTTTCCATGGTTATCACATCCACAATATCCTCTAAAACTCCTGCTGTCTTTACAGGAATCTGCGTAGCTAGTGTTTCTACATTCAACTTGGATTCAATGGATTGTAAACACATATCAAAATCAGCATCTGCCCTGTCCATTTTGTTAACATAGACTATTCGGGGAATATTATACCTATCCGCCTGCCTTGAGACTGTCAATGTCTGTGCCTCCACACCAGCAGAACCATCCAAAACTACAATTGCACCATCCAGTATATGTAGAGTTTGCTCTACCTGCATAGTGAAATCTATATGACCTGGAGTATCTATTAAATTGAACCGATGATTTTTCCAGTTAAATGTAACAGCAGCTGAAGTGATGGTTATTCCACGTTGACGTTCTTGTTCCATGTAATCAGTAACTGTGTTTCCATGGTGTACTTCTCCCATGCTCCTGATCAAACCCGAATAGAATAACATTCTTTCTGTTGTAGTGGTTTTTCCTAAAGAGGAGTATTTGCGTTTAATAGAAGTAGGCAGAATATATTTTACAATTTACAATCAATATAAGAGGAGCAATTATTACTAACCAGCATCAATATGTGCCAAAATGCCGATATTGCGTATCTTTGCAATCTCCAATTCTTTACTTTTTGTTTCTGGGAGAGAGGCACTTTTATGTATATATCGTATGTGCAGTTTGCACCACAAAATCCTTATAAGATTATGTTTCAACATTTTGTTCAAACTTATAGAATCATGTATATAACACACAAGTTATTATTCAAACTAGTTCCTTGATACAAACATAAATATAACATAAATACATATATTTATGTTCAGAATGTTATATATTTCATCTCTTCACAATCACATATTTAAATAATAGACATTTTACTACGAATTTAGAAAAAGATAAATATGACTATCATAATAATTTTATAAAGTTGACCACACTCATATTTTACATCGCTCGAGCAGCAAAAACCCATTAACTATATTCATGTTAATTTTGTTAAATGATTAAAAAGTGTTGCATTTTTGTTGCAGTGTTTTATAGAAAATTTATTGATCTGATAAAAATTCAATTATATGATAACTTTAATATAACAAACAGTATTTCAAAAAGCAAAGATCAGACTGTGTTTTTGGAGTTATATTACTTAAATTTTTCTACATTTAAAATAAAAATGAATTTTTGCTGTGTAATTACTCAACATTAAATCAAAGTTTTACTTTTTAATATTAAACAAAAACAAAAATTTAAATCACTTTACGGTCTTGCTACCAACAATAAACACCCTATTTACTTCACCTATGATTCATATTATTTGAAAATTATTCAATTTATTAAAACTATTCAATTTATTATTGAGTTGACGCGAACCTCAAATCCTTTCGGTATGTATAGTGGCGGCTCGTAGCGAAGACTCCGGCATTAAAAATCGACATCTTTTCAAAGGGTAAGGCAACAATTTCCCGAGAAGTAGAGGGGATAACGTTGGTACCAACGAAAATCTCTGCACGATATAATTTTAATTTCTATAGATTAGTACCACTGTTGAAGTAGTAAGGTCCAGTTACACAACTTGCTTTAAACGGAGTTTAAAGCTAAACCGATGGTTAAAAGCAATAGTATATGCGCATATACTATTGCCAGAGAGGAAGCGCTGAAAGCGGCTAACACGGCGTTTTCGGCGACACCGATTTTTCGCACTGGAAATGGACGCCATCTGCATCCATTTTGAGAAGAGAACTACGATGCTACATCCACTTTTAGGTCTTGGTAGTAAAATCTGCACGTGGTGGAAGTCTGTGCTACATCCACTTTCAGGCGGTTTATGTTCGTGCTGCAACCACAGTTACTATCTCTATGCCAGACTATGCCCGAAGGTCTAGAAAGAACGAGGGGGGGGGGAGCAGGAAAAATAAAAGTACATATTAAATATTAAATCCTCTACATACATGTTGCCGTATCAAAGTCTCCTGTATAATAAACGATTTGATACGTCTGGAGACGCATGATGTATTGTTGCCCGCGTCCCGTTCCCTTCGTCCTGCTTCTCAATTCAGCATCCCGTCCGCTCCGGACATTCGCTCGTGGCACTGACAGTGGCCGTCGGTGAGCATTCGATCCGTTCGGAGGAGCACATGTTAATTAACGCGACGAGACTCCGATTATAAATATCCCGCAAGTCGACGAAATATTTGAACTTTTAAAAAAAGCATCAAAGAAAATCACGTTGATGTTGTCATGGGTGAAATCTCACCCTGGTATATATTTTTTTATTTTCGAAATGAAAAAGCCAAACGAATGCAATTAAATGTTATTTATCATCATTGAATATTAGATGAAAAGTAGAAGAGTTATTGTCCGCAGCGGATAATCTAACATTTAATAAGAACGAGACAAAATTCGCATGAGATGAAATTCCACTCTTTAACGCTACCATGACCTTTAATTATTCTCCGAAAACGGTGTTTTGACATTCTGTACAATTAGTTGCTAACATATTTTCTAATCGTACACATTCCTCTTTAATTAACATAAAGCTAACAAATATTCGATGCTTCGACAGAATAATTTTCTTTATTTTCAGTAATCAATAAGTAGTAAATCAATGTCGCGTACAGTTGAAAGGCCTCCTCGCATTCCCCTCGTTGTCCCGGAACCTTCGAGAAAAGAAAAGATGCCCAAGGGCAAGTCTCTCTTGCTTCACCGCCGAGGCCCGCAATGTTTACATCGCGCCGATTGTGTTGATCGGCTCGCGAGCGACGACACTTTTTGCCCTTCGTTTGACGTTTAACGAATTTTCCGGGAATAAGAAGTCGGAATTTCGCGTTCGGCATTCACGATCCGTCATCATCCGACTAGTAATTATAGATACTTTATGAATCTGCAATTACTCTCGTATATATAATAATAATAAATTATAATTATAATATTATGTAATTATAATAAAATGTACTTGTAAATTCTCTCTATATACGGTGTAATGTTTTATTTAAGTTTATATAGTATTATAATAAATGATAAACCTTCACTAGCATAGAATACTACATGTATAGAATATACATATCGAATGTGCATATATTCTACATATTTTGATATTTTTTTATTCAAAGATGTTATTCTTATTATAATTGACGAAATGTCAATGATATCTAATTTGACTTTAAAAAACTATATCGAACTAAAACTTGATTAATACATACATGCCAGCATTTTTATTATAATAAGCTGTGCTTGTAAATCCTCTTTATAAATATACGGTATAATGTTTTATTTAAATTTATATAATATTATAATAAATAAATTATAAACCTTCATTATAGAATATATTATAATAAAAATGCTGTCATATATGTATTAAGCAGGTTTTAGTTCGATACAGTTTTTGGTGCAGCCGCGCCAAGATTTTTTGTATCAAATATTTTTTATTGCATTGTTATAATAATTAATTTGTTACAATAACAAGTAAAATAACCATATAACTCAGTGTTCTAATAAATAATGATAAATTTTACTTGTAAAAATTGATGTTATGAACATTTTTTGTAGCTAGGTTTTCTTGAATATTTTGAATAACATAACCTTTAAAAAGATATTTTTTTTTAATATTGAACACTATTAACAAACGTGTTAAATTTTTATAACACGATATAATTTTTAAAAGTTTATATACATATATTATAAAAACTTATGTTATGTACATAATATATATCTTAAAAAAGAAAATAATTTGAATTTGAGATTTCTAAAAATAAGTTAAGTATACAATAATCACATATATATGTTAGGTTTCTCAGTTGACGCTACTGTTCTAATATATCACTTCTTTCGTACAGTAGAAAAGTGTTGCAGAGTTTTATTATAGTTATAAGTTTTACTTGTAAAAACTTATGTACACATATATACAATAAAAAGAATAATTTGAGTTTGATACTTCTAAAAATAACACAATACATATTACGCTTGTACTTGGCGCCTTTTTTTTACCTTTTTGTTTAAAAAGGTAAGTTTTATATAACATTAAATATACGTACGTTTCACGTATAACGTGATTGAATTGGAGTACTCCGTGTGTGTTATTCATAGCGACGCATTCATACTTCCCCTGATCTGTTACATCGGATTCGATAATCTGCAAGGCACCAGAAACCATAAAATGTGATATTCTCGAACAGGCCTGTATCTCTAACCGCTTAGGAGATATCGAAGATTAAAGTTTTCTAAACTTTCTCCGTTGATATCTCCGCTTCTACTAGGAGTAGAGACTCGTCCTTGTAGTCTAAAATGTAGGGTTTTGAGAGGACTTTATTTTGGTGCCAGACCCAGGCATGTATCTCTAACCGTTTAGGAGATATCGAAGATTAAAGTTTACCAACGTTTCTCCGTTGATTTCTCCGCTTCTACTGGGAGTAGAGAGTCGTCCATGTAGTCGAAAATATAGGGTTTTGAGAGGACTTTATTTTGGTGCAAGAACCAGACCTATATCTCTAACCGTTTAGGAGATATCGAAGATTAAAGTTTTCTAACCTTTCTCCGTTGATATCTCCGCTTCTACTGGGAATAGAGAGTCGTCCTTGTAGTCTAAAATGTGGAATTTTGAGAGAACTTTATTTTGGTGCCAGACCCAGGCCTGTATCTCTAACCGTGTAGGAGATATCGAAGATTAAAGTTTACCAACATTTCTCCGTTGATATCACCGCTTCTACTGGGAGTAGAGAGTCGTCCATGTAGGCCAAAATGTAGGGTTTTGAAAGGGCTTTAATTTGGTACCTGTTCGAATCCTGTATCTCTAACCGTTTAGGAGATATCGAAGGTTAAAGTTTTCCAACCTTTCTCCGTTGATATCTCCGCTTCTACTGGGAGTAGAGAGTCGCCATTTACGGCAAAATGTAGGGTTTTGAAAGGACTTTAATTTGGTACCAGAGCCAGGCCTGTATATCTAACCGTTTAGGAGATATCGAAGGTTAAAGTTTTCCAGCCATTCTCCGTCGATATCCAGCCTTCCTCCGTCGATATCTCCGCTTATACTGGGAGTAGAGAGTCGTCCAGGTAGTCGAAAAAGTAGGGTTTTGAGAGAACTTTAATTTGGCGACGGAGAATGGCTGGAAAACTTTAACCTTCGATATCTCCTAAACGGTTAGAGATACAAGCCTGGTTCTGGTACCAAATTAAAGTCCACTCAAAACCCTACATTTTCGACTATATGGACGACTCTCTACTCCCAGTAGAAGCGGAGATATCGACGGAGGAAGGCTGGATATCGACGGAGAATGGCTGGAAAACTTTAAGCTTCGATATCTCCTAAACGGTTAGAGATACAGGCCTGGTTCTGGTACCAAATTAAAGTCCTTCAAAACCCTACATTTCCGACTACATGGCAAACTCTCTACTCCCAGTAGAAGCGGAGATATCGACGGAGGAAGGCTGGATATCGACGGAGAAATGCTGGAAAACTTTAACCTTCGATATCTTCTAAACGGTTAGAGATACAGACCTGGTTCTGGCACCAAATTAAAGTGCTCTCAAAACCCTACATTTTGCCGTAAGTGGCGACTCTCTACTCCCAGTAGAAGCGGCGATATCAAAGGAGAAAGCTTGGAAAACTTTAACCTTCGATATCTCCTAAACGGTTAGAGATACAGGCCTTGTTCTGGCACCAAATTAAAGTGCTCTCAAAACCCCACATTTTGCCGTAAGTGGCGACTCTCTACTCCCAGTAGAAGCAGAGATATCAAAGGAGAAAGCTTGGAAATCTTTAACCTTCGATATCTCCTAAACGGTTAGAGATACAGGCTTGGTTCTGGCACCAAATTAAAGTCCTCTCAAAACCCTACATTTTCGACTACATGGGCGACTCTCTACTCCCAGTAGAAGCGGAGATATCGACGGAGGATGGCTGGATATCGACGGAGAAAGGCTGGAAATCTTTAACCTTCGATATCTCCTAAACGGTTAGAGATACAGACCTGGTTCTGGCACCAAATTAAAGTGCTCTCAAAACCCTACATTTTGCCGTAAGTGGCGACTCTCTACTCCCAGTAGAAGTGGAGATATCAAAGGAGAAAGGTTGGAAAACTTTAACCTTCGATATCTCCTAAACGGTTAGAGATACAGGATTCGAACAGGTACCAAATTAAAGCCCTTTCAAAACCCTACATTTTGGCCTACATGGACGACTCTCTACTCCCAGTAGAAGCGGAGATATCGTCGGAGAAAGGTTGGAAAACTTTAAACTTCGATATCTCCTAAACGGTTAGAGATACAGGCTTCGAACAGGTACCAAATTAAAGCCCATTCAAAACCCTACATTTTGGACTACATGGACGACTCTCTACTCCCAGTAGAAGCGGAGATATCGACGGATGAAGGCTGGATATCGACGGAGAAAGGTTGGAAAATTTTAACCTCCGATATCTCCTAAACGGTTAGAGATACAGGCTTCGGACTGGTACCAAATCAAAGCCCTTTCAAAACCCTACATTTTGGACTACATGGACGACTCT